GCTAAATCTTCAAACACAATTAAATTTCTAATTACTTAATTTTCGGAATAGATTTTTCCATTATTTTCTAAAAAAAATTTTTGGCAGAGGTCGCGACTCCTAAAGGTCAAATTCGCGTCACTACAATTATAGTTTTCGCTAAGCTTATATAGGGATGATTTTCTATATACTGTAATTTGAATGATCGTCCAAATTTGCATCACATATAGTTGCCTGGGCAAAACTCATTTTAGCAAATGGCAAAAGTCGAAACCCTATATTTCGACGGATTTGTTAATAAGTATTCTTATTATGGTTTCGAGTTTCGACGGGTTTGACAATAAGGTTTTATTACAATTTTGCCAATGACCCCGTCGAAATCCGAGAGTTTTGCCAGGCAACTATAGCATCACATGATTAAATTTCTTTCCAAACGCGCTTTAACATTACTTAAAAAAAAATTTTAATTCCTCTCAAAATGCCTTATCATAAAAGTTCGAAACATTCAGCCCAAAAAATGGTTGAAAGAACAAAAGCGTATCAAGAAAAAAAGAAAACTGAGCTCTCTGATTTTATTGAAGAGCTTGCAAATACTCGGTTAAAACAGCAAGAAGAAAAAAGAAAAAGGATAATCATGGCCGAAAGGATTCATAACTTACATGAATATATTCAGACAAAAGACAAACTTGCGGAAACGCGAGGAACTAGAATTAAAATGCGATAATCATAAAAATGCAGTGGTGATGGAGTGGGTGAAATACAGTGATTTATTAGAGGGCAAGGTATTTGCTTCGGTTGGTTGGTCTAGCTGGTGGGTTTTTATTTCTTTAATCATCGGGATTATTTTGGTGGTCTTTTCTTTTGGCTGATTTTCTAGGACCTATATTTTTTCTTGTTCCAAATTTTACGAAAATATTTCCTTTTGTGTAAATTATTTTTTTTAAACCCGCTGAATATGGTAGTAGGAACTTCAAAGATTTTTTCTCTATGACTATAAGGGTCCTTTTATGGTAATGAAAAGGTAAAAAGAAGTCGGGATGAGGTTAAAAGTAAACCCATTTATTTCACAAAAGATTTTTAGAGACCAAGATGATAAAGAAAAAAATATTATGTTAAAAAAAATAAAAAAAAGCAAAGTAATGCTTATAACTTATTAGTAATTTCTTGCATCTAATTTTGTAGTTTAATTTTTTATTTAAGTGACTTTTTACTATTGTTTTAAATCATCGTTTATTCATTTTCCTCTTTCGAAGGAATTTCCAATTATTATTATCTTGTGAAACTTCTATTATCCTTTCTAATTTTATATTCAAACAAGATAAGGACTCGGATAATTGTAATCAAAGGAAAGGTTTTGTCATTTTATTATGTGAAGTGGTTTCTCATTATTTATTAATATAAATATAATTTCAGATTTGTTTTCGTATCTTTATGAACTTTAGATGACTTTCTGGAGTAGAAATACAATACAAAAAAAAAATTAATAAAAAAAAAACGAGTTTGACGCTAATTTAAAAACGTTTGCCAGAAATATAATATAACCCCCTGTGTAGGGTTGGATCGGTCCGGTCCGGTCCAAAAAGACCGGTCTTTCATCTTTCTTTGGACCGGACCGGTCCATAAGTC